GGGGGGGAAGGGGAAGAGTAGAGACAAGATGAAAGGGATGAAAGAGAAAAAAGGGAAAAGGGAAGAGGAAGGAGAGGAGAGGAAAAGAAAAACTACACCACAACTAAAATTAAAAAAAAATAACAATAGAATTCAAATCAAAAATCTATCCAAAACCACACCCAGCACGTAGCAAATGTGCAAACACTCACCGCCTCGGTGTATGCCTCGCTATTCTGCTCCTCATGGGCTTCCAGCAGTTTCTAGGAAAACGCCATTAAAAGTTAGGGAAAAAAATAAATGAATAATAATCACATGCATTTCCAAGCACAATTTCTTTTCCTGCTGGCTTTACTCACTTTCAATAGCTTGCACTCTCGCGAATCTGTGAACGCCGGGAACATTTCCTCGTATTTCTCGAGCGCAAGCTGAAAATGAAGACAACTCCAAATGTTTGTTTCGTGCAAAAACGAATGTTTGTGCTCTTTTCTTTTTTTTTCTTTTTTTTTTTTTTTGGCCACCCAGTCCTAAAACCTTGCAGAGAGGGCTGGGAGATTAAGAGAAATGCAGAAAGTTCGGGGGAAGTGTCTCGAGCCCACTGACCTTCGCGTTGAGCTCGTCCACAATGAAGTGACATAGAGCAGCTTTGAAGAAATACTCTTTCGCGCTGTACTTGAGCAGAGGGTTATCCATCGTGTTTGTCCCAACCTGGGCACCAGAAGAGGTGGGTAGAGCCAGGAAAGGAAAAAAAAAAAAAAAAAAGACAAAATGCATCACTGAGAAATGAATTTAAAACAGGAAGGATGATTAAAATAACGCACATCATCTGCAAATCAAGATGACAGAGATGGGGGGGAATTCAATGTTAAATGTATTTGTAAATATTATCAAAAGGGTAATTCTAGATTTCCTCCCTGCAGGCTTTCTCTAAAAACAGTAACATTCAGGGAGGAAAAAAAGGCCTCTGGTAAGTTACAGCAATTCTTAAAAGCCGAGGGGCATCCCCAGCCCTAAAATAAATGAGATTAGGAGATGGCAAAACCATTTTCACCCCACACCCCGTCACCTGCTCGTAGATCTCTATCGCCTTCTGGTATTGCTCCAGCTGCGCGGCGTAGGCAGCCACCTTCAGCAGACACTTATTGGCTGAGCTGCAACCGATTACAGTGTTAAATTCAATAAATAAGGGAAATAAAAATCAATCCCATGCCCCGATACCTCCAAGCACTGCCTGTACGTAAAAGACCACTTGCCTGTTGGACTCCTCGCCCTTGTAATAATCCGCAGCCTGCTCGTAGTGCGCGATCGCCTGGGGAAAGAAATAAAAGTTTTTGGTCAGCCTTTGCAAAAAAACAAACAAACAAACAAACAAACAAACAAACAAATAAATAAATTCGGGAAAAGAAACATTTTTTTGGAAACTCGTTAGAAGTGCCCCAAACTCCAAGCGTGGGTTTCATACCTTCTCGATGTCCACCAGTTCGGCCTCGTAGATCTCGGCGATGGTGATGTGATGCTTGGCAGCGATGGTGAATCGCCCCTAGAGGAAGGAGGAGGAGGACAGAAGTGAGGTGGGGGCTCACCGCGCCCAGCGTTGAACCGAGCTGCGTCTCGCTCCCCGAGCTGCCGTCGCAGCTTCTTACCATGTCGGTGTAGATATCGATAGCTGCATTTAAGCAGTTGATGGCCTCTGCAGCGTGTGTGGTCAGGAAAAATGAGAAAGTCAGCCCAGCACATCAGCCCCAAATCTAGCCCCCGCAAAAAAATCGGATCTTGGGACCCATTACTCATCATCAAACCACACATCGGCTTCTCAGATAAATCCCTGCTCACACGTTCACAAGCACAGATGTAAGGTTTTCGGCCCCTGAGGCCTATGGGCATGACACCTAATCCCCATGCACAATTCGACACCC